TACTTCTGTGAGCCTGCAGCAGGCTTTTCTCTCCAGTGAATATGCTGAGTTATCATTGTTCCAATTTAGAAAGAAACTGTATTTTGGACAGGGGAAATATATATATATATATATATTTTTTTTATTTTTTTTTCAAATATATTTGTTGTTGCTTGGCAAAAGATTTGTAAGACTTTGTCATCTAGCAGAGTTCCCCATGTTTTCTGTGACAAGATCAAGTTTCTTGAACAGATTTCACTACATGAAATGTAATATAGGGAATGCCCTTTTCCTTGGATCTTAATTAGTTTTACTTGCTTTTTTTGTGCCTCATGAGTCCATTTCAATATCGTTTCCACTTCATAAAATTTCCACTGTCAAATAAGGTACCTGTTGGTACAAAATAGAACTCAAGTAACTTTTATCATTGATGGATTATTTGCTGGTGTCCCCTTCAAGAACAGTGCTTAGAAACCAACCTGTAACCCTATTAACGCGTCATTATTTTTGATTATAAATAGTCTGTGTATAGCAGTGTTGTGGTGTAATTCTGCTGAGCACCACAGAGCCATTCACTCACTCTCCCCAGGTGGGATGGAGGAGAAAATCAGACAGGCAAAAGTGGGAGAATGCAGGGGATGAGATAAAGGCAGTTCACTGGATAAAGCAAAAGCTGCACACGGAAGTGAAACAAAGCAAGAAATCCATTCACTGCTTCCCATCGGCAGGCAGGTGTTCAGCCACTCCCAGGGAAGCAGGGCTCAGCATACAGAACAATTTCTCAAGTAGACAAACACCATCACTCTGAATGTCCGCCCTCTTTCTCCTTCTTTATCCCAGCTTTTATTGCTGACCGTGGAACCACACGGTAAGGGACACCCCTCTGGCCAGCCTGGGCCAGCTGTCCTGGCTGTGTCCCCTCCTAGCTCCTTGAGCACCCCCAGCCTCCTCGCTGGCAGGGCAGCACCAGAAGCTGAAACATCCTCAGCTCTGTATGAGCACTGCTCTGCAAAAACTAAAGCATTGGTGTGTTACCAGCATTATTTTAATCACAAATCCAAAATACAGTGTTGTGTGAGCCTCTGTGGAGAAGAGTAACTCTATTCTAACCAAAACCATGACAATATCTACCCCTTACTCTGTATCACTTTTGTCATGCTCAAGTCCCACACCTTCTAACACACTCTCGTTGCCAACAAATTTTAAACTCTTTAAAAAAGAAACATTTTACAAGGTGGTTGGTCATTATAAAGGCAAAGATTGAGTAGGAGGCTTCTCAAAAAAACAGCATTGATATCACATCTAAATGAAACTAATTTCATTTATAGATAAAATATCTCAATTTTACTCATCACATTCTGAAGCAGAAGAAAACAACCATAAAAATTCTCATCAAAAAAGTTATTTTCCTTTGAAAATACAGTTCTGATGAATTTGTTATCCAGCCTTGCTTGATAATACCCCACAGTAAAGGCTGTATGAGAGTACTATTTCTAGCGGAGGGAAGTCCAATGCCTGTGATGTGAGATGGATATAAATGAAGTAATGTGAGAAGGATAATACACTGACTGTAGACACTGAGATTTTGATGACAATTTAACTGGCAATTTCTTTGCTAAGCCACGGCTCTGTTGGTGCCAAAAGCACTTTGCTGTATATGTGGTTGTTTTAAATAATATTTGTTTAAAATAATACTCATTTAAATTCACATTATATGTCTGCTCCTTTCAATTTCATTAATGTGAAAACTGATGAACAGAGATAGTCTTTATGTGAAGCCTAGTGAAATCAAGGATAATCTCTCCTTTGATGCCACTAGGCATTTGTTTCAATCCTTGTCTATGTCAAAAACTTCCTTCTGAATACCTAAGTAGTTGCAGCAATTCGAACAGCTAAACCCTGGATCTACATAACAGCAGCAAGAGAGATGCATTTTGAAGTTGATAGAAAAAAAAAAAAAAAGGTTTGTATTAACGTTCCCTAATTAAAATAATTTTTACTTAGGAAAATAACATTTATTTAACTGTTATGTAGGTCATTGATAAGGACAGATTTTGCTAAGGTGCATAGATGTGGGCATGCCATCCACATCTTGTTAGTGTGGTATACATGCACAGAGTCATTAGATGTGGAAGTGACTGCGTAAGGCACTGTACACGTTGCAGAGACACCTAAACACCTGTACATCCAATTAACAGCTCCAAATATCATTTTACTGAGTCCATTTGGTGAGGTTATGTCAGAGCTGTGAGGACACAGCCAGCCCTGTGCGTCCCTGCCCAGGCCCATGCCACCATGTCACCGAGGCTCCAACTCCTCACAGCCCTGCCCAGCCATGGCCCTGCCCAACCAGGCCCAACCCAGAACCCTCTTCAGGCCTCGCCTTGGCCCAGATAGTTGCCCTTCATTAATTGCTCTAAAACTGTTTTCCATAACACTTTTAATGTGCTCCTAATACATTACTTTTACCACTCTCTTGGAATTCAATGCCTTTTCTTCATTTAGGAGAGATAATGGTACATGAAACACAAAGATGTCTGGTCCAAGTGTGCCAGACCCGGCACTACTTCCCAGCTGTTCCTGCTCTATTCTCTCATCATTCTGTCTTTGTCTGAATAATGAACTAACTGGTAACTCTCAAGTGGGTTGTGCTTATAAATGTGGACTGAGGTGCTGCCATGGTGTTAAAGAAAATGGGAATCATAAAGCCACTTGTCCCTCTTGCCCCATTGCCATTAATTGGCTGAGACCAGGTCATTGTTGTCCCATCACTGAAGTGTAGTCCAGGGCCTAATTACTGAGTACAGCTACAAATAAACATGGGCAGCAAGTTAGCTTATGTCAGCTAATAGCCTGCCAGATCGCACTGTCTATATGGAGGTGTCAGTCAGTTTACAGGGGAACACCTGTTATCTAGGTATTTCATGGAGAAACACAGAGCTGTAGAGCACGTTTGGCACAAGCAGAAAAGGGCTGGATGTGGTATTTAGGAAATGGTAAGGGATGGTATTCCAGGGAATTGCACTCCAGTTGCTAAGAAAATTCTCCACTGGAAACCCTGGCAATCTTACTTAAAGGAATATTTACTAAATTAAAACTACTGCTCACTGCTTGAAATCTTAAGTTGTCAGATGTTTTGCTTGTTGGTTTTGAGGGACGTTAGACTGCTGTAGCTGAAAGCTATGTAACAGGATTATTTTTTCTTTTTTAGTCATGTGATTTTGGCAGCTTTTTAGTTACTTTGCCTGTTCTCTTGTGCAAAACCAGCTGTAGCTAAACTTCAAGACATATACAATTATTTTATTTCTCTACTGTTCAGTATTCAACCCAGGATAGCTGTGACTTTCAGATAACACACAAACCTAAAACTCCTGTCAATTTGGTACAAGTCTTATGAGTCCAGCATGTCTTGAAATCAGGTAGCCCATGCTAGTTAGAGATCTCAGACTTTGTGTACATAAGTATTGCAGAATGCAACCAGTACTGGTGCAGTCTTCTTACTAGTTTTTGCAATGACTGTCAGGTATATTTTTGCATTTGAGTTTGGAAGGCAGGGCATTATGGAAAGCTGACTGTAGAAAATAACCTAATATTGAAAAACTATGGATTCATTTAACTTAAGTGAAAAGAGAAACAGGAAAAAAACCTGACAGATGAGATCCTCTATTTCAAAAAGAAAATCCACAAAATCCAGAGAAATACCAAGCCTATTTTCCAAGAGGGGATAGGGAGCAGTATGGAGGTCTTACTCCTTGCATCCTTCTTTGTTCCCTGTTCATAACTTCCTGAACACCACTCACCCATTCCACCAGGTACAGTGAGGATGCAGTTCAGGAAGAATCCTACCATCTACTACAGACCATGTTCCCTGTTTTAAGCATGGTTTTTGCCATGTGAAATTCATATTGTTGGCTGGAGGAGTGGACTGACACATAACTCACAGCAGGCATAAGAAGTTTGGGGGTGGGGAGCTTGCCTACAGCTTGGCATGCTGCTTCCCAGCTGATGTAATATGTCTTCCTAGTAAAAGCTAGATTTGGACCATGATACAAAACAGTAAGTTCAGCTGGCTTTACTGTCTTATGTGGTATGCTACAGCTATGATAACAGCTGTTCCTATCAGCCAGGAGGAACTGGTGTTACTGATTTTTGTATGGAAAAACTACTGTACTAGGTTGTCCTGGGGCTTACCTTGAAAATACAAACGTTAACTGCAGCTTTGATCCCCCGCAATGGGAAAAGCTGGCAGAAAAAAAAAAAAAAAAAAAAAAAAAAAAACTCAATGGATAAATAACCAAATCAAAAAGGCCATTAGCAGGGAGCAAGAGAGAATATAAGGAATGGATGAATTCCTGACCAGCAAAGAAGGCTACCGCATGAAACACATGGATAAAATAAGACCAAAAGATATAGTGCCAAGTGGGAAATCTGGCTATATTAGAAAAATTGGGTGGATTAGTTAAAAGAAAGAAAAAGGTAATAACTGGATAACTGTAAGGCCTGGCAGATTATCTACTGCTCAGACAGATAACAATAGGACAAGGGTGAATGGTTTTAAACTAAAAGAAGGGAGATTAAGACCAGATGTAGGGAGGAAATTCTTCACTCTGAGGGTGGCTGGGCACTGGAACAGGCTGCCCAGAGAAGCTGTGGATACCCCATCACTGGAGGTGTTCAAGGCCAGGCTGGATGGGGCCCTGGGCAACCTGATCTAGCAGGTGGTGTGCCTGCCTATGGCAGGGGGGTTGGAACTGGATGGTCTTTTAAGGTTCCTTTCCACCTAAACCATTCTGTGATTCTACAATAGCAGCAGTATGGAGGGAGGTCACTGATGGAGATTCTTATTTCTGTGGTTTGGATCCAGTCTTGTTTCATTGGTATTGGTGGCTTTGTCAGGAAACACTGTTTTAGGAGTCTAAACGGTTAGGAATTTTAATTCTTATCAGAACTCTATGCAGTATTTTCAGAACATGTGCAAGAATTCTTGCTAGTGGGATCTGGCTGAAGAAAATGGTCTTACGACTGCCCAGCAGATGCAATCCTCAATGTAAATCACACAGCTGCAATACGCAACCAGTCTCACACATAACACCCTACATACGACTGAGAAAGAGCACCTGCTGGGACCAAGAGTGAGACCGTTGCAGGTCAGAAGATGGAACAAAATGTAAATCTTCAAAGACTGCACCCTACAGTATGAAGGAACGAGGATACTTGCAATATTCCCTTCTTCCATTCTCTAGAAGGGGTATGGAAATGTGTTGGCCTGGTGCTCTGGTCATCCAGGAAGCCCCATGTGGGCAAGAAAAATTGGAAAAACTGAAGAGAATGAGAATATGACAGTGAGTGCATGCATGTTTGTACCTGCAAGTAGTTCTGGCTAATAAAACACCACGGAGACTCTTTGACTTGTAATGGCTTAGTTAAAATACAATAAATATTAACAATGGAACAACTGCCATCAGCTATTATACTTGAAAGCAGCTGTATAATATGAACAGTTTGATAACTTTGCTGGCTTTACATATTCACCAGACATCGTCAATGTTATGTGGGAAGAAATGTCTGTCTTCAAAGAATGAAGTACGAAGAGTAACATATGATAGTGCAGAAAAAAGGTGTGCACTCAGAAACAAGAATTGGCTGTTCCACAATTGTACTTCCAACAGGGATGAACGACAGCGTTGCTGCTGCGTGTGCTGATGGCGCACGGGTCCTCTTCACACCTGTAAGAAAAAAATAAAAGGAAAAAAAGGACTGATTAAAACTTAACCAGGCATTGAAAAGGACACTTACTGCAGGAAACATTAAATGAACGCACACCAAGTTTGCCAACCAGGTGTTTTTTTTCCGCAGCTCCGTGCCGGCGCGCAGCGGGCAGCGGGCACGCGCCTGGGCTCGGCGGGGCCGGGGGCGCGCGGCGGGGGCGCGCGGCGGGGGCGCGCAGCGGGGCTCCCCGCCCCCGCGCCGGCTTTGTGCTGCCGCCCGCCCGCGGCCCCGGCCGCCTCCCCTCCCCTCTCCTCCCCTCCCCTCCCCTCCTCTCTTCCTCCTCCTCCTCCTCCTCCAGGGGAGCCGGGCGCGTGATGGCGGCAGCCGCCGTGGCGGAGGCGAGCAGCGGCGGCAGCAGCAGCAGCGACACGTCCAGCACGGGCGAGGAGGAGCGGATGAGGCGCCTCTTCCAGACCTGCGACGGCGACGGGGACGGCTTCATCAGCAGGTAGCGGGGCGGCGGGGGCCGCAACTTCTCCCAAGTTTCCACCCGCAGCCGGGCGGCCGTGCCCGTGCCCACACCGGGCCGGGCCGGGCCGGGCTGGACCCTCCGCCCCGCTCCGCCCCGCTCAGCCCCGCCCTGACGGCGCCGTGACGGACGGGGCGGGGCGGGGCGGCCGGGGCCGGCCGTTGGCGCCCGTTGGCGGCCGTTGGCTCCTGAGGCGAGGCCCGGGGGTCGCCTCGCCTCGCGTCAGCCAGCCCAGCCCGTGCGGGTCCCCGAGTTAGTTTCTTGATCGTGACCCAAACCCGTGGATTTCTGTCATGAAATGCTGGCACAGTTGGGGTGGGTGTCTGGAAGTACGCCGCAATCAGGCGTTGCGTTGCCTGGAGTTACCGGCAGCGCGTTTCGCTCAGGGTTGGGCTTAGTTGGAAGGGTGTTTCTGGGACTAGTGCCCTGGTCTCGCAGCAAAACTGTAAAAACATTGAACTTCAGAACATTATATTCGTCAGAGTTCATGGGAGCTTGCATTTTCAAAATCTTGTGTTAGCTGCGATTAGTGAGTGCCTGTGGAGAGACAGCTCAGAATTTCCAAGTTTGTCACTAACCTGAAACCTGAGGGTATGGCCCTGGGGAAGGGCTAAGTAAACTCCAGCCCTCCCTGTCCTCTCTGTGGAACCAGAAAGTTGTTGAGAATCTCTAACAGCTGGCAGTCACTTAAAAATAAAACTTACGGGTCATGATATTTCTTATCTAAACAGCTCCCCAAACGCTTTTTTTTCCCCCAGTCTGGTCATTATTTTGACAGTTGTGGTTATGAAAGGTAAACTTTGAAAATCTATGCTTTCTAACCAGCATGTTAAGATCACTTCTCTTTCCATTTGTTTACTGTCCTCATGGAAATTATTCCGATGTCTGAAAACTTTGTACGTTGGCTTAAAGCATGCACAGCCTCCTCTGAGCACACTCTCTGATCTGCACTTTGATGCTTTCCTGTAATGTAAACTCTACTGAGTTTTGTATATTTGTATTTTAAAGCACTTACTGGGAGAATGTTGATGCCGTTGTGCTTCTTACAGACAGCTGAGAGATGCTAGCATGACATAAACCACTCACACTTCAGATTGACTTTTGTTACCTCTCCTAAGTTTCTTTCCAACTAGTATTATGTGTATGTCAGAACACATGTTTCTGAATGCTGCTTGAGCTACGCTTCTGAAAGCTTTGAGGACTAAAGGACATATCTGAGAAGGGGCACTGGATTTCAGTAGCAAACAGAAACACAGCTCAGAGGATAGCTGAATACCCTTCTGGAGACAGTGGGTCTGTTGTTCAGAGCTGTTAATGCCTTGCTTCATAAGGGAGTTGTGCCTTCAAGGTGAAATTGGTAAGGCCTTGATCAGAATGTTGTGTCATAAATTGTCTTGCCTCAAATTTCCCTATTTGCAAGAAAGTAATGAATGAATATTTAACAAATGATCTTTGACATGAGAGGGAATAATTTCTTCTTGACTTCATTAGCAAGCCTAGGTAATCAGTCTTATAAATGCAATGTGTTCCTTACTTTATGTAGTGTCTCCGCTTCTCTTATGATCTATTTTGTGGCAATGGCTTATGCACAAGCAGACTGACTCAGTGTTTTTTAAATAAATTTATAGTATATGCCACCACAGTCTTGAAGACAGTTTGTTCAGGTTCATGGGCACACAGCATCCCTATGATATAGTGACTTTTTGTCAATGTTTATAATCTTAGTGTTTGGGTAATTGCATCTTTTTTAATGTAGTAAATTAAAACAAAATGCACTTTTGCAGTAAACTTTATCTTGCCATTCTGTGCATACTGTTTGTCTTGCTACTTCTTTTTCTTCTCTGTACAGGCCAATTGGTTGATTTTCCTGTTCCCTTTTGCCCTGTTTCCATGGTCTTCCCTTTACTTGTGGAAACTCTGGTGTTTTCCATCTTTGAGGGCAATGATATCTTTGTTGCTTTCCTTGTAGCCCCAGCAGAAATGGTAAGCTGACCTCTGCGCGTTACTTGTGACTTTTACAGCAGGTTAAATGTTGCAATAAAAGCCTGGGCATCTGTAGGAGGAGCTGAAAACAAGAAGCTGGCACTGTAAAACAGGCTGCTTCCTTGTGGACTGGAACTGTTCTACAGCCTCTTAGTAGTTTGAGCCTCTTTGGAACTTAATTATTTTCAATGCAGTGGGATCAAAATATGCAGTTTTGCAGCTGTTACTCAACATAAGTTGTCGTAGCGTTCAAAATGAGTATCCCTTCCATTCTGCATACAGGGCTGAAGCTTACTCATTCATTTGTTTGCACAATGAACGCAGCAGTTTGTTTATAAGATATCTTTCTCTCCTATTCTGGAGTTGTTATGGAAGAGATTTTTATTCTTGAAGCAAAGGCAGGCACTTCATATGCGTGTTTATTTAGTTCATTTTGCATGAGGAAAAGAGCTGTTTGCATTGCTAATGAAGTTATATGGTGTCTCAGCTGTGGAAATGCTTTGTTGTGCATCAAACTGTAAACCTTTTTAAATAATAGCAGGGAAATAGAGGCACACAGATGGAGAGGAGGAGCATGTCCTGAGATACTGATTAATTTTCCTGCTCTTACCTGAGATACTGATTGTGTTTGAGGGTCTAAATAGGTAGGATGATATGAGAGTGTGATTGTTATGTGTGTATTGGTTGTTGGTCTTTATAACCAAGAACAAGCTGGATGATGGGGCATGAAATGCTTGGCCTGTGTCAGTCTCTGTATGTTGCATTTGACATATGAACATTGAAATTTTGCAACGTCTAGCTGTAAAAAAATATTATTAAAACACCAAAGCTCTAACTTGTTGGTTTATAGTCAAATGGTTTTTGTTCCCTTTGGGAGAAATGGTAGTTACCTAATTATTTTAGTATCTCACAAGTGCTTGGTATCTTTCTAATACCTCAGCAAGAGGTAACTATACCACTAAAAACATATGCAAAACAGTCCATGATTAAGACTGGATTTTGAACACTTATTATCAGCTGAGTCAGCCTTGCTTGGAGCAGAAGGCAGCCTTAAGCTGTTTAGAGCAAAACTTAATTTTTGCAGCTGTAGGTGGATTGTGTTGTTATTAAGAAAGAGCTGTTAACTGAAAAAAAATGTAATTGTATTCATTTGTTGAGCTTCTGTTTACTTTGAGGAGCTTTGGACTCTGATGCTATGGTTATTTAGCTTCAGGGGGTTGGTGCCTCGGGGAGCATATAGGGTGGCGTAGAGCAGAATAGAATATGTGCTGCTATTTAAAAAGAGTAACTTTTATTTTAATATTAGCATATATGGCCTTGGTGGTTGTCAGTAAGGAAAGTGAGACCTCGCTCAGTTTTTACAGGTGTTGGGCTACTTAAATGCCTTTATTAGAAACTTAAATGCCTTTATTATGTATGGCGGGTACTAAACATCCATTTAGAATAATGAATTTCGCCTTTATGGCAGAAGTCACTGAGTTTTGAGGTTATTCTGTTGGAACACTGCATGGTGTAAAATTACGGTAACTTTAAACAAAAGTATTTCCTGCACATTCAAAAAATTGCAGCTATGAGCTATGGAGATAATGGGTGAAGAAAAAATACTTAAGTTACAAATATATGCTAATTTCCTAATTTTAACGTTTAAATGCAGAATAATATTTTTTAGGGTTATGCAGCAGAAAGGCAAAACTAGTGTTTAATTCAGAAAGAGAAATTTCATTATTATATTAAGAGTAATCAAGTTCTACTTGTACAGTTTGACAACATTTTAATCTGCATAAATTTTTTATGTTGTGCTCAATGTGTTACTGAAATCTTTGATAATGAAGTGAGATGTTTAAAAAAAAAAAACACAAACCTGCTGACTTCGTTTTGAGCTTGTGCAGCCCATTAAAAAGACTTGCTGAATGAAAGAGTTCCCCCTTTGACAGTCCTTTCCTGAAGTAGGTAAAAGAAACTTGTTGGATTTGATGTATTATGTGAATGGTTTTAGTGGTACATAGCTTTGGGAACTAACAAGCTTTCCAATAGCACTCCGATGCTTCCCTTTCTAGTAGGTGCAGTTGTTGGGGCTTTCCCAATCTTCTTGTTCTCTGAGTGTATTTTGTTAACCACTTCAGTCTTTTTCTGCTTCTGGTGGCCACATGCTGTTGGAAACAAACAAAAAAAGTCTTTCAAGAAGACTTAGATTGCCTTCTACTGCCTCAGAGTGGGCCGAACTTTTTCATGGTTATAGTGTAGTAGCAGAAAATTTGTCCCGTTGAGCTCAACTTGGTGGGTCTTCAGGAGAGAACATATATAAAACAGAACTATAAAGTGACTCGCGGAAAGCTGACTCCACAGTCAGTAGGACTGTACAGTAGGTGTGTTTATTCAGTGCTGGCGGGGTAGTCCCGCCAAAGTCGTGTGCATCTGATGCAGCAACTTGCCTCGGTTATATGCAGGAAAGAGTTACATATGCATGAAGTTTCCCAGTACACCTATACATGCTCATAACCTGTCCCCAGTTCATATTAAAATTATCTCCAAGGAGTCATTTCCATAAACTCCTCCCATCTGCGCTTGCACAGTGTGTTCTGGTGGTGGGTGCCGGGGGTCGTGGGGATGAAGATTGATGACTCTTCCTTGTCACCGCTCCTTGACCTCTTGTCTCTGCGCAGACTCAGTTACTCCTTGGCTCTTACCCATCCCCAGGACCCGTTTCTGCCAGTTTCTTAAGACAGGCTCACACTCTTATTAGGAGACTGACCTTGATAAGGGGCCCAAGGCTTCCTGCTTTAGTTAATTTGCACAATGCACCACAGCACTAAGCAGCATCCCAGTTTAATGCCGTCAGTGCTCTATCGCTACTTGATAAGATTCTCTTAATTCCCTCTCTCAGTCCCCCCTTTTCTAAAAAGTTAGTAAATTCTTTTATTGTATTCTCCTAACTCCCTCTCTCAAAAGTAGCAAAGCTGTTAGTAATTTCTTTGTTTAAAAGTAATATGAAAGTTACTTTTTTCCCTGAAACAACCTTCTGCTTGCAACCTTTTTTACTCTCCACTTTAAAAATAAGTAATTACTGCAAAGTGTTTGAAATGAATATAGATAACGTTTTTCAAGCCTGTAGTCTGACTTTACTTTTTGCAG